ACCGTTTCCGAAAAAGTGCACCTTGAAACTGGAAACGGCAAAAAAACGGCGACCGGAAACGGCAACAAAAACGGCTCCAGGATTGGAACTGGAGCGGGAACCCGTCAAAGAACGGCGACGGAACCGGTCAAAAAACAGCGTCGGAACCGGCGAAAAAACGGCACAACGGAACCGGTGAAAAAACGGCCCTGTCGTTTCCATGGCCCACTAAGGTCATCACCCCCCTCTCTGAAGGGGCCCCAGGACACACAAATAAATACACACAAATAAAAATATTCCCCATATTTTCCCATATTTTCTGGGTTTCTGTATTCCCCCCCACTTCCCATATTTTCCCATATTTCCTGGGGAATCGAGGATTAATTGTGTCTGTGTGTTTGTTCCCCTCCTGACTCTCTTCCGCCCCCGACTGCCGCAAGGACCTCGACCCCCCGCCGGCCCTCGAGCTGCGTCACTCGTTGCGCGGCCACGGGTAGGATGCGGATGTTTCGCCGCCCGGGCGGCCGACGGAGGGCGCAGAGCCAGGCCGCACGGCTCAGCACTGGGGAGACCGGAGGGTAGTGCGGGATGACGATTTATTCAAAAATGGGAGAGGACGATTCAGAAAATGATTGCCTGCTATTTCTGCACAGCTTTCTGACTGGAGGAGAACGATTTAAAAAAAATAGTTTTCCAGCCCGCGGCCGGTTTTTTCTAATCGTCATCCCGGGCGCCGCCGCGTGAACACGACCCCCGGTCATTTATTAATCGTCATCCTCCATTACCGATGCCGCTGCTCCCCCGGGCCTCTCCTGAGGTGCGTTCTGGCCGGAACTTCCGGGAGGCCCAAGCACGCGAAACAACAAGCGAGGGAAGGGTGGCAGCATCAGTGCCTTGGAAGGGCCCGGGCCCAGGGGCACACAGATGAATACACACAAATCCCAGGATCCCCCATCTTTTACAACATCGTCTGGTGTTTCGTAACTTGGGATTGACGTTCATGTGTGGCTGTGTTTGTTGTTCTCACATCCTGAGCTTTTTCCTCCCCTGGAGCATCCGGCACAGGCCGCCAACCGGCGGCGAGCGAGGGGGGAAGCGAGAATGAGAAGACCTTCTCGGGAGGCTCGGACATCCCCCGCCTGCTGAGAAATTCTCTAAGCATCCCCCAGATAGATCTACAGTCGGACCGCTGAAAGAAGGAACGCCAAATCAGGAACGAAGCCCCTCAGCTTGGCCCTATGAGCGCCTCCGCGCCCCAGGAGGGCAAGAGGAACAGCACTTGGAGGAACCCGAGGAACATCGACCCCCCTCCGAGCCAAAACTGTTCCTTACTTCAGCGCCTTGGCTGTGTATATCTATATGTATATATAAACATAGAAATATAGTTATATATGTATATACATGTATACATATAAAGTAAATAAATAAATAAATGAATAAATAAACAAATAAATAAATAAATAAATAAAACAATACATAAATAAATAAATAAATACATAAATAAGTCAATAAATAAATAAAGAAATACATAAATAAATAAATAAATAAATTTTATATATATATATATATATATATATATATATATATATATATATATATATCTATATATATATGGTTGCAGTTACGGGGGCCCAGCCAGGCGCGGGGTGCCGCCACAGCTCGGGGCCGATGGCGCGGGCGCCAACCACCGGCAGCGCCGCGCGGGGCGTCGAGGCGGGGGAGAGAGAGGCAGGACCCTGGCCGGCGGCCGGAGTTGACAGAAGCTCCTCCTCCTCCTCCTCCTCCTCCTCCTCGTCCTCCGCCTCCTCCTCGTCCTCCTCCTCCTCCATCATCCTCCCTCCTCAGCCTCCCTCCTCCTCCTCCTCCTCCTCCTCCTCCTCCTCCCTCCTCCTCCTCCTCCTCCTCCTCCTCCTCTTCCTCCTCCTCCGCCTCCGCCTCCTCCTCCTCCTCCTCCTCCTCCGCCTCCTCCTCCTCCCCGAATCGTGCTGGGAGGAGGGGGTTGAGACGAGGAGGAGCAGGAGGAGGACGAGGAGAAGGAGCCGCAGGAGGAGGAAAAGAAACTTTGCCCGTCGGCCAGAAGAAAAGTGGACAGAAGCATAAAGCAGGAAGGCGTTGGAGGTAGACTGTGCTTCCGCCCGCCCCCTGAGGAGGAGGGAAGAATGCAGACCACTCCACTCTTGAAATAGGAGGGCGCCTAAAGTCGATTTGGAAATGGGCACCCAGAAATACCTACTTTCAGCGACCGACGGGCCTCGTGTCGGGAGGGAGGGGCTGGGACGATACAGGGCACGATTGGGTAATAAGCACCTTCCACATGCGCGGCAACATGGACGACACTATCATGTCTCCCAGCCCCATCCTCCCAACCCGAAGCTGTGTTTCCGGAGAAGAGGCACAGACAAGGAAACCTGGAGCACCGCAGATTTCGCAACGTAACGAGTCCCAAATCCTAGGAGGGCGTTTCCCATTGTTCGCGATGGCGGCCTCACCCGGCCCCGCCCCCCACCCCCTGCCCCAGATCACGCCACGATCCGTGCTGACCTCCGAGCTGTCCGAGCTGGCTTTGGTATTCACGAAACACTCCCAGACGGCGCCATCCCCACCGGTAACGCCCGTGATCGCCCAGGGAATAAACAACGCGTTCTCTTATGATGCTACAACCACCTACTTTAGCCTTGATCACCAAAAATAATTTCGAGCACCAAGAAATTACCGGAACTTTAAGGTGTCCAAGTGTCGGGCCCTAGGAGGCGATGCTCGATCGACGCTTTTCCGATATTTTGCTGGGTGCTCGAAATTAATTCTGGGGATGTGGTCCTCAAGTACGATGGGAGCAACATAAGCTCTCTTGCCAGTTGGCTCACTGGGAGAAGGACTGCGGCTGGGCAGGCTCGTGGGCTGGGTGGTCCACTCTGACCAGGCGCGCGGCACATGCAAGGGCAAGGAAGGAAGGAGGGCTGTCGGGGCGGACGCAGGAGCCAACGCGGCCAATGCACGCACCCCCCGAGCAGAAGCGAAGATAGCGGCGCGGCGCAGCCTGATTAGAGGCCTCCTAGATGGGGTCGACGTAGAGGGGGTCCGAGGATCGCACCGCTTCGCCGATACATCGGCGATACATCGGCGATGCACCACTGACGCACCGGCAATGCATCGTCGACGCCGGCGATGCACCGGCGACGTCGACGTGAAGCACATCGGGCTCCACATCGAGCCGCCTCGGCGATGCATCGGCGACGCGGCGCGATCCTCCGACCACATCTACTCCGACCCCGTCTAGGAGGCCTAGGTGCACGCACCACGCCGAGCAGAGGAGGAGGAGAGAGGATGGATGGAGGAGGAGGGGGAGGAGGAGGAGGAGGAGGAGGAGGAGGACGAGGACGAGGACGAGGAGGGGGAGGAGGAGGAGGGCGAGGAGGAGGAGGGCGAGGAGGAGGAGGAGGAGGAGGAGGGAGGAGAAGCGAAGGTGGCGGCGCGGCACGGCCCGATGCCACGCGGAGGGCGCAGGCGGCACCAGGGGCGCCAATAGGCGGGATTCGGCACAGGGCGCACCCAGGAGAGAGAGAGAGAGAGAGAGAGAGAGACGGGGCGCCGCGCACCAGCGGCCCAGCCACGCCGAGAGGGCGGAGGACAGGAGGCCACCTGCGAACCCTACCCCACCACCCCACGAGTTCTAAGGGGGGGCGTGAGGGTCACTTCACACGGGAGGTCTGGGCCGAAGTGAACCCCACCTCCTCCTCCTCCTCCTCCAGCTCCTCCTCCTCCAGCTCCTCATCCTCCTCCTCCTCCTCCTCCTCCTCCTCCTCGTCCTCGTCCTCGTCCTCCTCCTCCTCCTTCTCCTCCTCCTTTTCCTCCTCCTTCTCCATCCTCCATCCTGCTCCTCCTCCTTTTCCTCCTCCTTCTCAATCCTCCATCCTCCTCCTCCTCCTCCTCCTCCTCCTCCTCCTCCTATTCCTCTTCCTATTCCTATTCCTCCTCCTCCTCCTCCTCCTCCTCCTCGACCCTCGACCCTCGACCCTCGACCCTCAATCTTCGACGTTCGACACTCGACCCTCGACCCTTGAGCCTCGATTCTCCTCCTCACGATGTTTGCGCACCCCCGCAGGAGCCGCCCGTCCTCAAGTGGAGCGCCGACATAATTAAGCACCGACGGCGTGCGGCCGTGCGGCCTCTCGTTGCGGGGGGGGCCCGACTCCCCGCGCCTCGACTCAGCACCCAGGATCAGTGGTGCAGTGATGCAGGGTCGAGGGTCGAGGGTGGAGGGTCGAGGAGGAGGAGGAGGAGGAGGAGGAGGAGGAGGAGGCTCGAGGGTCGAGGGTCGAGGGCCGAGGAGGAGTAGGAGGTGGGGTTACTCTCCCGAGTGAAAAATCGTGAGGTGGTGGGATAGGGATCGCATGTGGCCTCCACGTCCCCCGCCGGAGTTGAACCCCCCGTCCCCCCTTGGAAATCGTGAGGTGGTGGGACAGGGTTCGCATGTGGCCTGCGAACGGGCGGCCGCGACGACTCGGGCTGGCAGCAGGCAAGAAGGGCCTCAAAGGGCTACGCCGGAAAGGCGCCATGGCCAAACCGGCGACGATATGCCCGAAAGGGTCCACTATAGGAGCATTTGCGGAGCACGGGCTGCGCTGGGAAAGCGCCATGGCCACCATATTCACGATATTGCGTCGGGCGCAGGATCGCTCCGGAGCTGGAGCCAGATCAGCTGAGAGAAGCGAGGCTCACAGAAAGCATGCGTGCTCCTGCCCAGAGGAGCTGGCCGATGTCTCGATTTGAACTGGCAGATTTCTGAAATGGGTCTGCATGCTCACCCCTGCTCCCCAAGACTGGTGATCGACAGATGCTCACGTGGGCAAGAAGCAAGCAATACGCAGAAGGCACGCAGACAAGACCACACCACCATGCCTTGACAGGGCCATCCTGGGCTCTGGCACGGTGATGCGCCATCCTATGGCCAGGCATCGTGGTGCTGAATGCTTGCTGCGAACGAAAGCTCTGAAACTCCCCCCAGCACCCCTCCCTGGAGCCTGGGCCGTCTCGTCGGAGAGCATATTGACAAGCTGCGGCAACGGACCCAGCTCCATGATGGCGTTGCGGTTCCCGTCCGTGCACGCAAGGCTGCGCAGCACCGCAGCCGCCTGCGTCCTACATTCCACCTCTCCGAGGCGGGAACCTAAACATATATAATTCGCCACTCTTCGAGGCGTACGTAGTGATGTGTGTGCGCGTGTGTGTGTGTGTTGTGTGTGTGTTGTGTGTGTGTTGTGTGTGTTGTGTGTTGTGCGTTGTGTGTTCTGTGTTGTGTGCTGTGTGTTGCGTTATGTGCGCTGCGTGTGTTATGTATGTTGTGTGTTGTGTGTGGTGGGTGTGTTGTGTGCGTTGTGTGTTGTGTTGTATGTTATGTGAATTGTGGGTTGTGGTTGTTATGTTGTGTGTTGTGTGGTGTGTGTGTGTGTTGTGTGTGTTGTGCGTTTACGTGCGTGTGTGCGTGTATGGGTGTGTGCGTGTGTGCGTGTGCGCGTGTGCGCGTGTGCGCGTGTGTGCGTGTGTGCGTGTGTGCGTGTGTGCGTGTGTGCGCGTGTGCGCGTGTGCGCGTGTGCGCGTGTGCGCGTGGGCGCGCGTGCGCGTGTGCGCGTGTGCGCGCGTGCGCGTGTGAGCGTGCGCGCGTGTGCGCGTGTGCGCGTGTGCGGGTGTGAGGATGTGTATGTGTGTGTGTGTTTGTGTGTGCGCGTGTGTGTGAGGGGGGGGGCTTGCGTGTGTGTGTTAGCGGGTGCGCGTGCGTGCGTGCGCGCGGCGGGCGGGCGGGCGGGGCGCGCGCGCGCCGCGTGCGTGCGTGCGTGCGTGCGTGCGTGTGCGTGTGCGTGTGCATGTGTGTTTCGTGTGCGTGTACGTGTGCGTGTGCGTGTACGTGTGCGTGTGTGTGTGTGCGTGTGCGTGAGCGTGCGCGTGTGCGTGTGCGTGTGCGTGCGCGTGTGCGTGTGCGTGTGCGTGGCTTGCTTGCTTGTGCGTGCGTGCGTGTGCGCGTGCGTGTGCGTGCGTGCGTGTGTGTGCGCGTGTGCGTGCGTGCGTCCGTGCGTGCGTTGCGTGCGTGTGCGTGCGTGCGTGCGTGCGCGTGCGTGCGTGCGCGTGCGTGCGTGCGTGCGCGCGTGCGTGCGCGCGCCGTGCGTGCGCGCGCGTGCGTGCGTGCGTGCGTGTGTGCGTGCGTGCGTGTGTCTGTTTGTGTGTGTGTGTGCGTGCGTGCGTGCGTGCGTGCGTGCGCGCGCGTGTGTGTGTGTGCGCGTATGTGCGCGCGCGCGTGCGTGCGTGCGTGCGTGCGCGCGTGCGTGTGTGAATGTGTGTGCGTGTATGTGTGCGTGCGTGTTAGTGCGCGCATATATATATATATATATATATATATATGCATATATGACCCCCTGGAGCAGCCCCATGCCAGGGGACAGGAAGGCGCGAAGCGCATCCGAAAATCATTATATCGTCGACCGCTGCTTCGGCCAGAGCACGCGGAACGAGCGAACGGGCGCCGAGCTCAAAGAATCACAGGCGGACGGAGCTCGAGAGCAAAATCAACAGCCCCAAACCCCAATAGGTTGGAGGAAGTTAAGAAAGGACAGGTGGCAGGGGGGGGGGGCTGGAGGGCGCCGGAGAACTTGAGCCCACATGGCGCGCAGCACTCCACAGCTCTCAAGATCACTCACGCGCAGGCACTAAGCATGAACCCTTGGAGCAACCCCGCGCCACGGGACATGAAGGCGCGAAACGCGTCCGGGCATCATCCCTTCTTCGACCGCTGCTTCGGCCAGAGTACAGGGAAGGAGCGAAAGGGCGCCGAGCTCAAAGAAGCACGGGCGGACGGAGCTCGAGAGCAAAATCCACAGCCTCAAACCCCTACCCGCCTTCAAAGAAGCGCACTGGTCTTGGCAACAAAAAGGCGCGCCAGCGTTCTGCGCAGCTCAGCTGGGCGCGGGCGCGCTCTCGCGGCCCAAAAAACTCCGTCGGGGCCCTTGCCCTGAAGAATGATGTGTTTTTTGTTTGCCTGTAGCACTTCACCTGCCTTTGACGCTGCTGCAGCGCTTGACCGCCCCCTGAGCGCGAGGCCACTTGAAAGGCACTGAGGTGGTTGCCTTGCGCCATGGCGCGCCACGCTGACAGTAATCCACCGGCACCCTCTCGGCGCCCGCGGCTTCAATGATAGAGACGAGCTCCGGGACTTGCCACCGACGCGAAAAGGAGGGGTTCTCAAGCGAGACCGGAATACCTGCGAGCAACGCGGTGTCCAAAATATTCAGCACATTATAGAACAAGAGATTGGCATCCACAAGCTTTCGACGATGTTGCGCGCTGAGATCAGGCAAACTCCGCAGATTCTCCTCATCGCTCAAAGGGGGAGGGCCACGCCCGTCATTCTTACGGGCACGAGACCAGCTTTGACAATTTAGACCGACGTGGATCCCTCCCACAGCGCGGTCTAAAATCATGCGCCCTAGGCGGGCAATGGCGCTCGGCTGACGGAGATCGGCGGCGTCGCCGCCCTGAACGTCCCAGCCCGGCGCAGCCCGCCCAGCGGCAGCGACGGCGCTGGCCAGACGGCCGGAGCCACGCATGAGCTCGAGGAAAGGCCTGGCTCGCGAAACTGGCCGGGCGTCGAAAAAAAAAGCGGCGGAGGCCGGCAGCCTTCGCCGCGGCCCCCGTGGCTCGGCGCGCCGCTTGGCGCCTCCGAGGGGCCCCTTCGGGCGTGGGCCGCCAGCTGAGAGAGAGCGCCAGGGCCTGCTCGAACGGGCCGGTGGATGCGCACACCGCGCGGCGGGCGTCCGCATCCAGCTCGGCGAGCACCTGCTGCGCCAGGGCATGCGCCTCGTAGCGCGGCATGCTGTAGACCGGCCCCCAGGGACCTCCGGCCTCGGTCCCGGCGAGGGACCTGTAGCGCCACAGCCTGCCGCGGGCCGACCCCACCTTGCTGCTCTCTCCTCTCGCCGAGGGGCGCAAGTTGAAGCCGCAGCGACTGCGCGAGCCGCTCGGGGGGGAGACGCCCTGCTCTCTGATGCCGAAAGCCTCGCTTGGCCTGGGGTAGGCACCGAACATCATAACCGGCACCATCCCTTCCTTCGGGCAGCCGAGGGCGCGGACGACGGTCATGGCTACCAGCGCTACGACCTGCCACGGGATGGGAGGCCGCCTCTGACCTGGAACGAACACCTCCCGGCACCGGAGCGCCTTCGAGCACCGCGGCAAGCGGCGGGGGCCCTTTCGGGAAAGTCGGGGCGCTCCAAGATGAAGGCGGCATAGCTCTTCAGCAGGTCGGCGCTTCCCAGCCCGATACTCCACGCGTAGTCGCCGTAGTTCGCCCGCGCCAAGTCGACGACCCCCTCAGCGACTAGCGCGAGGGCGCACGAGCTGGCGACCCTGCAGAACCCCCCCAGCGCCTCCCCGCAGTGGGCCTGCCCCTATGGGGCGACCGCGCCCCACTCCGAGAGACGCCTGTCGCGCGGGCCCAGCAGTCGGACAGGGCCCGACCAGTCTTGCCTCTGCGAGCTCCTCTCTCCCCGCGGGGCGCCGACCAGCGATTGCCCCTTCAGGAAGACGCCCCCGACGAGGCGGTGGCTCGCCGCGGGGCCCCTCCGCGCTGACGGGCCGAAGCGGCTGATCGCTCGACCTCGGCCCCCAGCGCCTCGAGCCCGCATCGGCGACGTTGAGCTCGGAGGGAATCCAACGATGCTCAATCTTTGAACCAGCGGCAACAGAGAGCGCAGCTCCACGACGGCAACAAATCAGCAAAGGATATGCAGTGCACCCCCCCCCCCCCCCCAGAGCCAGAACTGCCCCAATATTGCCCCCGAGCTTAAGGTGGCTATTTCCGAAGGCGCCCTGGCTTCTGAGGGTGCGCCTGGAGGTCATGTTAGCAGCCCTGCCCTCCACGATAGCGATGGGCTCCTTGACGCGAAACCGAGCCGAGACGGGGGACCTCTGCAAAGTCGCAGGTGAGCTCCCGGGGGTCGCGCTGGAGGTCCTCGTCGGAGATCTCGGGGGCCTTCGCCGTCAGGATGTCCGAGAATGCGCCCAGGTGGCCTTGTTGGAGCCCCTGCGGGCCCACAGCTGACCGTCGCGCCTGAATCGCCGACGGCGCGCGGCATCTCCATCTCTCACTGACTGATCCGACACTCTCGACCAACTGAATCGGGAGGGGCGTTTGACGCGCGGCCATGCCCGAGAGACAAGCGTCGTAGCACGTCGCGACGGGGCTCCAGGGCAGCCCGAGGTCGGCGACCATCAGCGGGGGCAGACGACGGCCCTGGGCGACCTCGCACGCAACGGAAGGCCAGAGACGAGCACGCCTGCTGTAACAAACTCCTACCAAACCGCACGCATTCCCGATAATACAAAGCAACCCCTTTTCGCAACATGACATGATCAATAAGATGCCCAATGAACCTCTCCACCTCCCGCCCCGATACTCTCGGGCGCGCCCTAACCGCAGGGCAGCCTGGCGCGAACGCTCTGCGCGTTCCGGGCGAGAGCAGACCAGGCCGCTGGCGCCATCAACGAAGCGCCCGAGGCTGGCGAAGGCACCCGTCGCCTCCACCACCTCGTAGATCCGAACTTCACGTCGTCTCCACCCAGCGCGAATCGCATTCAGCTGTGCGTGGCAGCCGTCGGGGTCCGCCCCGATGACGTCGACGTCAACGCAATAGGGGGGGGGCAGGGCTCGCCACCGGCCAGCGGAGGGGCGGGGCCGCGATCGGTCAGAACCCTGGAGACCCCGAGACCCGAAGCGAGGCAGCAAATGCGCGCGTCGGCACGCTGCCCCAGCCAGAATGCCCAGGACCAGCCCATGGGGGCGACCCGAAGACAGGGCCAGACCCAGCCCCCCGAGGGGTCGTCAGGAGCGCCCACCGCCCCCACCCCCCATTGCGACAACGCAGCTCGGGGGCGGGCGGCAACGAGAAATGCGGGCCGACCCCAGACGGGAGACCGAGCGCGTAGAAGTAATTCCCGACGTCGGCCTGGGCGCGGTAGAGCTCGGTTGCGTTAGCTCCCGCGCCGCCCCGATCGCCAGGAAGCTGGAGGCGCCCGCACGCTGCCGACGCCCCCATCGAAAGGGGGGGGCGGGCGCGGAACCTCCAGCTCGGCGCCCTCGCATCCCAGACGAGCCTCTGGGCGCCACTTCTTTGCGACGAAGAACGGCGTCGCCAAATCCTCGGGGCCAAACGTGAGCCCCAGCATGTTGGCCTTCACCAGGTTGGAGATGAACAAATGGCAGGCGCCAGGGTAACTCTTCCAAACCTCATCCATGTGCGGGGCGACGGGCGGCTCGGAGTCCAGGACCCTCGACCATTCGTCGGGCGTCTTCATCACCCTACTCTCGTAGCCCAACACGTTGTCCCTCCGGATCGGGTCGAGCGCCGCCGCAACCGCGGGCGCGACCGCATTCACTTCTGGAATGTCTACTCGGGATCTGATGGACTTCACCACGGGGCTCGGTGCCTCGTCACCGGTGCATGACAGGCTGGTGGCCAGCAGCTCCTTCGCGGCTCCACGGCGTGAGAAAATGCTGAAGGTCGTGGACGCTCCGTACCTGGTGCAAAACTGTGGCAGCTGCACGGCGCTGAGCCGCCGCGGTCGGCCCTCGCTGCACACGCGGTGGGCATAGCGAGTTCAGACCAGCAGTCCCTTCATTGGCGAGTTGCTCCGAGCACCGTCTGCGAGCCAGCCTCCTCCTCGTAGAAATAGAATATGACCCCGTCGTCGGCGGCGTCGGCTGAATGAGTGGCACCCGGAACAGATCACGCCGGCGATCTGTCGCTGCCTGTAGTGGAGGAGGAGCCTTCCTTCTTCACGGACATCTCGCGTCGCAAGACGTGTCCGTCATCGGCCTGAAGGCAGCCGCGGGTCGGCCAGCTCCCGCGGCACGACGTCGCCATGACCCCGCCCCCCGTTTGGGTGGGGTCGCCCTTGCCGCCGCCTTCGGGCCGCGGCGCAGCTTCTGCTCCTCCTTCGACTTCCTGGCCTCCTTGAGCACGGCCGCCTTGTCACGAAAGTTGGCAGCGACGTGCTTCTGCAGCGCGGGCGCGACAGCTGATCCCCAACGGTGGGCGAACCAGCCCACGTACTCGTCGGCAGCCAAGTAGTCAGGCGCCGAGGGTGACACCGCACGTGAGTCCTCGATCGCCTGCAAGCGGCGGCACACCAGCTCGGCGCTCGGGAGGGCAGGCGCGTTGCGCTGGTCGACGCTGGCCATCGAGTCGAGCACGCGGCAGAGGACCTCGTGCTCGTGGATGGAGCGATCGCCCTCTGGAATCCGCCCCGCTCGCAACCAGTTGGAATGGTGCGTCACAGGCGTGAGACCAGCATCGCGCCACGACCTGAGGACCCACAAGCACGAAGGGGGGCCGTCCAGCATAAAACCTCCCTCGGGCTCGTCCGCCACCTGCAGGTCGACCGCCTCCGTGAACGGTCTGCGCCGCGTACCCTCCTGGCTGAACTTAACTGGGAGCACGAGCAGTTCATCGATGACGAAAGCGCCCACTTCCGCCGCAGGGACAACGCGAGCTGTCACCCACCCCCCTGGCAGGGGAACGAGTGCGACGTCCCCCCTGCACGTTGGCGTTCGGCGGCTGAGGACCAGGCAGACGCCTTCCTCGCCGCAGCCCTCGGAAATCCTCCGTGGCGAGCCTCGCGGCGGGGGCCACCGCAAGCTGCGGCAGCGCTGCTCCGGCACGGCCAACCACTCCCGCCTCGCCGCCGTGCCTCACCACGGGGCCGGCGGCTGCCGCGGGGCCCGCCGCGGCGGTTCCAGCAGCGCCACCCAGGCGCCGCAGGCGGGGCGCCGCCGACCAGGAGGGCGCCGTTGCGCTTGAGCTGTTCGAGCTACGCGTCGGTCGGCATCTGCCTGAAGCGATACACCTCGAGCGGGTTGACCCCCGCAGGTGTCGACCCCTGCGCTCCTGACCATCGCACCTCGGCGACATCATCACTCCTGGTCTCCCCGGCGTAGTGATCACCGTCCGCCGTCAGCGTGGCCAGCTAACCTGGCACCGTCTGGATGACGCCCGTGACCAACCTCTCGTGGAACAGCGGCGGCCCTGGGAGATCGTAGCGGATCTAGATAAACTCACCTGGCCGCGCCATTCCTCAGGCGGAGTACTGCGACCTGCTGCCAAGCCCTATCCTCGACCGCACAATCTTGCGGCACCCTGCGCCCGCGTCGACCCGCCCAGCTCGCGGCAGCCGCTCCGACCACCACTCCGAGGCCCACGCCGATCACCCCCGTCTCGACGCCGCGCCTCTCTCCAAAGAGGCCCGTGCAGCCCTCGTGCGGAGGGCAGCTCCGGTTGACCAGCGGCGCCGCGCATTTTTGTGTTGCTCGGCGGGGCGAGAGCGAACCTCTGCCGCGAAAAGCTAGGCGAGCTACGCACAGCTTGAATTAGGAAGACAGGGCACAAGCGGGCGGGGCCTCAGGCGGCCGGAGCGGGCGGGGCCCGGGGTGCAGGCGGTGCCGAGGGGCTTGCACACGAAAACCGCGGCGCCGCGCACACGGGCACCGGGCAGGAGGCCGCGGGGCAGGAGATGTTCGCCGGGGGGCGAGCCAGCGAGGCTGGCGGGCACGCAGGTGCCGCCGAGAGGACCGCCTGGCGCAGCGCCGGCAGCTCCAGCCCCCGAGTGTGCGGCGGCCTGCAGATTCTGGGAGGACGGGAGGGCAGGAAGCCCCATCAGAGAAGAAACTCCTGCCAGAGAACTTGAGGCCATATGGCCCGAGGCACTCCAAAGCTCTCAAGATCATTCACGTGCAGGCACTAAGCATTATATCTATATATATATATATATATATATATATATATATATATACGCATATATACGGTGTATTCATTTGCACACGCATGCGCGAGAGAGCGCTTCGGTACACTTCCAAGAGGGAGTGGCCCTTAGCTACCACCACCACCACCCCTTGGACATCCCCTGCTGGAAACCCCCACCCCCTCCTGTTTGCCGTCCCTCGAAAGCTCCCCCCCGTCCTGTCGTACTTTCGAAGCCACCCCGTCCCCCCCGTCCCCTTTCATCCACAGGGGGAGGGGGGTTCAGCTACCCCCCCCCCCCCCCTTGGATCTCCCCTGTCGGACCCCCCCCCCTCCTTTTCGTTCCGCTTCTCGGACGCTGCCCCCGGCCCCCCCCCCGCAAGGGGTTCGTCTTCCGGGAAAAGGGTTGAGTCCCCGGGAGAACGGATGGATCTCCAGGTGGACTGTTGCATCCGAAAGGGCTTCTGGGGATTCTGGCAGAAGGGCTGCTTCTCCGGGCGAGACCCGGTCAAGGATCTTCAAAAATCTGTGGATATTCCATTTCTCTGTAGGAATTGCACAGGACGCGCACCACTCTTGTCTCGGCGACCCGGAAAACCAACTCTTCGTGAAAAATGTTGTAGATGTGACGAACCAGTCAACAGTCGTCGTAGCAATAACAGCAGAAGTAGTAGTAGTAGTAGTAGTAGTAGTAGTAATAATACTAATGATACGAATAATAATAATATTAATAGTAAACTTAAAAATAAAAATAATAGTAATTTGATGATAATGATAATAATAACATCAATAATACTAGTAATATAAATAATAATAATAATAATAATAATAATAATAATAATAACAATAATAACAATAATAATAATAATAATCATAATCATAATCATAACGATGTTAATGCTAATACGAATAATAATGATAATAATGATAATAATAATAATAAACCTAATACGAGCAGCAGTACAGCAACAGTCGCCGCAGCAGCAGTACGAGTAATAGTAATAATGATAATAATAATCGCAGCAGCCGTCGTAGTGGTAGTATTAGTAGTAGCGGTAGTGGTCGTCATTATAACAGTGATAGTTAAAGCATAAGTAGTTGTAACAATGATAGCAATCATAATCCAACCAGCCCTCTGGGCGCAGGTGGTCTAGGGCGTTTCCCTTTTCCAACCTCCTGCCTCTCCCTGCTCGGGAGGTTTACCTCCCCCCCCCCCCTGCGTTTGGACGGGGGGGGACGGACCCATAGCAGCGTCCAAAATGGCCCAAGATGGCTCCAAGAGGGCCTCCGAGAGCGCAGGATGGCCTCCAAGATGGCCCAAGATAGCGGCAGACGGGTCATGATAGCCCCCGACACGCGTCCAAGAGGCCCCCAGACGGCCCCAAAACGGTTTCAAGTGCCCTCCGGGGCCTCCAAAGACCCCCCCAAGAGGCCAAAGTCTTTCAAAAACCTAAGGAAAATCAATGTTTGTTGCCTTCTCGCTTTTTCGCTTCCGAAGGGCTCTTGAGGCCTCAGGATGGCCCTAAGATGGCCCAAGACAGCCCCAAGAGGGGCCCAACAGAGCCCCAAGACGGCCCCAAGAGCGCCCAAGAGCGCTCCAAGAGCGGGCCAAGAGGGTCCGAAGACGGCTTTTTTGAGCCTCCGAGGGGGGGGGCAAGAATTGGGCCCCCCCGCCTTCTTTAGCCATGAGGACCAAGACGGCCCCGAGAGGCCCCCCAGAACCTCCCAAAAGAGCCCAAAAAGGGCTCCAAGACCCCCCAAAAGACACCCAAGAGGGCCCCAAGAAGGCCCCAAGAGGACCCCAAGAGCGCCCCAAGAAGGCCCTAAGAGGACCTCAGGAGAGCCCAGAGAAAGAGCCCCGCGAGGCCCCAAGAAGGGCCCAAGAGAATCCCAAGAGGGCCCTAAGATGCCTCCAAGTGTCGAAACGCACGCGAGTTTAAGATACAAATCAGTGCAACAGCCATTACGAGTCATCGAAATACCCCTCACCTCTCATCGAAGCACCATCGTAAGTTGCACCGATTTCCATCTTAAACTTCAATGCGGGAAGCTATGTGTGAGGCTTGTATTCTCGAAGACGGCTGCGCGACTGCATGCGTTCTGCCGCCCCTGATTCACCAACTCCCCTGCTGATCGTTTCTGGGTGGGCTGGTGGGGATACGCGAAGCGACAAGAATTATGATAGCAAAAGTAATCGTAATAGTAGTCGCCGTAGTCGTCGTAGTGGTAGCAGCACGGGTGCTAATATTCCTAGTGCTTTTCTAGGTGTATTGAATGTGGTGGTTCTAGTACGACTGGTAGTAGCAATAATGTGAAAAGCAGCCGTCGTAGTAGTAATCATATGGATAATGATAGTGGTGACCGTGGTCGTGGTGATGGTAAACGTAATTGGAGCACGGGTAGTAGTAGTAGTAGTAGTAGTAGTAGCAGCAGTAGCAGTAGTAGTAGTAGTAGTAGTAGTAGTAGTAGTAGTACGAGTAGTAGTAGTATTAGTAGTAGGAGTAGTAGCAGCAGTAGTAGTAGTAGTAGTAGTAGTGGTAGTAGTAGTAGTAGTACTACTACTACTACTAGTAATAGTAGTAGTCGTGGTAGTGGTGGTAGTAGTAGTAGCAGCAGCAGCAGTAGTAGTAGTAGTAGCAGTGGTTATCGTAGTAGGAGTAGTAGTAGTAGTAGTAGCAGTAGTAGTAGTAGTAGTCGTAGTAGTCGCAGTAGTAGTAGTAATAGTCGTGGTAGTAGTAGTGGTAGTAGTAGCCGTAGTAGTAGTAGTAGTACTGGTAGAGTTGGTAGTAGTAGTAGTCGTAG